TCCACAAGTCTTCAAGTTGCCAAGGTTGGACACCCCTGGTTTAGACTACAGGGAGAAGCACCTGGAATCCCCAAGGGAGGAAACAGAGCCTGTTGCAAGGCCAAGGAACAGGCTGAGGTTTATCTAACAGTCCCCAGATCCTGCCGGGAAGCCATCCTCCCTCCCTGCCTCCCTCCCCACTGGGCATCGAGGCTCCTTAAGCGATGCCCAGCCTTCCTCAGGGCAGAAGGGAGGAATTCCACCCAGGCGGCGAAGAGCTCCTCACCTGCATGATGTCGACGGCCATGGCCTGCGTCTGCACCCCTTCCACCATGTTCACCAGCCAGTGCACGACTTCTGCGCTGATGAAGCAGGACGGGGAGAGGCCCTTCTGTTCAGACAGCAGCTGGATCCCTGTGCTGAGAGCCAAGCAAGGCCCAGGTGAGGGGCATCTCCTCACCTGTCCCCAACCTCTGCCCATTGCCCCCCCCCCCCCACCCCCTGCGCTGGCCTTGAGATCCTGCCAGGAGAGAAATGACTGGAGTCCCCTTGCCACCCCCTCTTCCAGACAAGGGGTGCCAAGAGGCAAGGGGAGCTGAAGAAACCTACGTGGGATGCTTCAGTGCTTCAAGGATTTCCAACAAAGTAGATGAAGATGTCAGGGAACTGGCGGAGGGTGGCTGGGAGCTGCAGAAGTGAAAGAAAACACGCCCTCAGCTGAGAATAGCAATAGCACTTAGACTAATATACTGCTTTGTAGTGTTTTCACAGCCCCCTCTAAGCGGTTTACAGAATCAGCCTCTTGCCCCCAACAATCTGGGTCCTCATTTTACCCCCCCTCGGAAGGACGGAAGGCTGAATCGACCTTGAGCCTGGTGGGATTCAATCTGCAGGCAGCTGGCAGTCAGCAGAAGTAGCCCTGCAGTTCTGCACTCCAACCACTGCGCCACTGAGGCTCAAGGGAAAGTGGCTGCAGGACGGTCACAAAGGCAGGGCATGTCGGCTTAAGGACCGATCTCCTACTCCAGTTCACATGACTCTTCCTTGATTACGTTATTACTTCCACTCCAGAGAAAGCCCCACCTGGCCCTTCTTACCTGTTTTCCACAGGACCAGAGGTGGCCGAGATCTGGTCCCCTCCGTGGAGAGAGCTGGCTTGAACACTGCTACGGTCTACAGGCTGGGCGGTGCTGATAGCAGTGCTGCCTTCCAGGGTTCCTGGGACAGACTGATCGACAGAGACCTGGGGGAAGGGAAGCAGTGGCCGCTATGGAGGTCATCGGCCTGAAAACACCTGAAAAATCCCTGCAGGTGCGCAGAGGAACTTTGAGCTGGCCCTGTGTAAGACTTGGCAGTTTCAGGAGCATCGCAATGCTTCAATAATGAAAACATCCATCCTGGTGCTGAAAATGACAATTGGTGGGATGCTCAGAACTCGTTAAGACAGGTAACATAATGATCTGGGTGGCCTGGAATTTCCTTCCCACGCTCAGATCAGGAGCACAAAGAGCCCTGCCGTTTGTTCGGGCTTCCATCTCTCCCATGAATAACCTGGTGTTTCCAGAGGAGCTGACTGGGGACCAAGGACTGGACAGTCAGAGAGAGCGAGAGACTGTCTTGAAGGACGTAGACTGCAGCGGG